CTGATATGTTAATTTAAGACGTGAGACCCTACCAAGGTTATTATCCATAATGACTGCTTCTAATGAGACATAAGTGATACCATTAGAAGAATCCTATATTGTATCCTTAGGTGCTGATAATTTTCTTTATAATAAGTTAAAGTACTTGGCCCTGAGATTGTATTTAGATTTTTTTCCCCTAATCTTGAATTTAAAGGATAAAATAGAGATAGGATTTGAGATACTTTTTTCCTGCCAATTATTATAGAGTCTTTTAAAAACTTACTAGAAAGAACATGTTTGGAATGCAATTTGCAGACTAGATCTCGGGGAATTTAAAATCAAACTTGTGAGAAAGAATGTAAAATTAGATGCTATGCTAAAAAGATGTTGTAAAAATGAACATATTTCATTCCTGTTAGAAGTATCATAATAAATGTAATTTAAAATGTTAAAAAGAGTAATTAGTAAGACCTAAGGGATCATTAATGTTTGTTAAAATACTTTGGATTACCTTGCTGTAGAACATAAACTTTTTCAAATAAAATAGACCTAATTGAACAGAAGATTATTCACTGCATGCTAAAAAGATAGTAGAAATTCAGAAGCAAAAAGATTAGAAATTCAGAATCACACTACAGAAACCACCTAGCTATCATATAAGAGTTAAAAAAAATTATATTTCAAAGGAAAACAGAATATATTCTATATTGAACTCCCCAACTCCAGAGCATATGGTTTGATAGTGCCATAGCCAGAACCAGCTTTTCACATCAAAGATAGAAAAAGCATCAAGCCCACATTGGACAAACCTAGAAAGGACAGTGGAGCCTTGCTAGCTAACTGGTCAGTTTATTCGCATCCTCTGTTTAGTGGTGTTGTGTGTCCAAAACATGGAACACTGGGACAGGTCCAGTGCAGAACACAAGTGGTCTGTGTTTGAATATGGGTCTAACATTTTAGCAGAGGGTTGAAATCGAACAAGTAATTTCTGCGTAGTTTGCAATTATAGTTTGACAGTGCTGAGGAGAACAAGTAGAATGTATAACAAGAGCATATAACAGCCCTTTCCAAGTGTGTGGATGAGGCCAGACTGAGGTGAGAGCACTTGGCGGGCAGGAGGAATGCTGGACAGTCACCATGAGGTCTTGGAGATGAACTGGCAGAGAAGACGGACAGGGCTGAGAGCGTCCGGGTCCAGAGAGTGCTTGTAAAGGAGGTCAAGGATGTTCATCTTCACCTTGGGACACTGTGTAGACCCCCCACCCCCCAAAGTCAGATCTGCATTTTGAACAGACTGATGAGTCTGACATACAGCAGATAGATTGAAGAGATCAGACTTGTTATGAGGAGACCAGTTAGGATACTGCACTCTTCCAAATCTGATTGTTCCCTGAGTCACATCTCTGCCTTTGGAGAAGCCAAAGGAGATGCACTACAAGCAAGCAGATGTCACTGCTTACAAGCAGTGGTCCTGAACTGCTGAGGCCATGTAACACGAGCAGCAAACATGTGTATGAGATCAGCAGTGTGGTGGCCTCACGTGTGGCCTCAGCCAGAACTGCTTCAGTAGACAGGTGGGATAGAAATGAGAGTGATTTAGAGTAGGGTGGTGACAGTGACAGTAGAGGGAAGTGGACAAACCTGACAAATGTTTAGAAGGGAAAATTGAGAGGGCTGATGTGTGAGTATGGCTGGGAGAGAGAGCAAGGTGCTGAGAGCCATGCCTGCTGTCCTGGCTGTGGTGCTAATGGCCACCGGTGCCCTTCCTCAGGGCAGAGTGGAAGCAGGGACAGGGCAGCAGGCCGTGAGGCTGGCCCATGCATGTTGACAGGAGATTTCTGTGATGCATCCAAGAGGAGATGTCAAATAAGCCATTTGCTGAAGCCTGGCTCTCAGAAGGGAAGTCTGGTTTGTGGTTCTGTGTGTGGGAATTATGCTTGTATATGTGGTCACCATGACCAAGTCTGATATCTCTTAGGGAGAGTGGGTAGAGGGGACCAGGGCAAGTTCTATGGCTGGGCTTTGAAGAAAGCCACATTTAATGCCTACTAAGATAATAAAGAAGTGATAAAGAAGATGGAGAAGGAGAGGCCAGTCACACCGAAGTCGAGGAGTAATGGTGTTTGGAAAGGAAGGCGTGTTGCTAAGAGGCCTGATTTGGTAAATTCTGGCAGGTGCCCATCTGATTCGATGAGGTGCTTATTGGTGGTCTGTGTGGTCACCGCACAGGAGGGAGTGTGTTGAGAGGGGCGGTGCAAAGAGGAGCCATCATCACAGGCAGATACCTCCTTGAAGAAACAGGACCGTGAAATGGAGGAAAGAGGAGAGGATGAGAGGAGGAAGCTCAAGGAAGGGATGCTTTGTTTTTTAAAGGTTGTAGAGGCTTGAGCATATTTTAATGCTGGCACTGCTCTCAGGGGGACAGAGTGAGCACACACTTGCTGCTCCCTTGTCTCCCAAATGCCTCCAAAAGGACAAAATTATGTTAAAAATTATCCCCTCTTGTACCCCAATACCAGGAATAATGTCTGAAAGATAGTTGGTGTAACAGGTGCTCACAAACTTTTCTTTACTAAATGAATAAAAAATTTTTACTAAATGAAAAAAACCTCGTTATTAAAAACTAAACATATGTAACTATGCTGGGTAACTAAGAAAGGTTTGCTTACCAGAAAATTGGAGGCATTTTGGGAAGATCAGCTGACTAAGCAAGCTGCAGCCCACTGGGCACAGGAGAGGACAGTGCGGGGAGGAGCTTGCTTTGCAGCAGATGGGGGGAGAGGCACGGAGCCCCGTGCCAGGGAATGGGTGGAGGGACAGGCAGTGCACGGGGACTGGTGGTGCATTGAGGGTCTGCCCACCGATCCCTTATTCTTGGGCTGGCAGCAGGACTATTTGCTCCCAGGTTAAAGTTCTGAGAACTGTTCCCTAAATAATAAGTTAACAGGAGAGAGCTTCAACTAACTAAAATGCTCTACCACAAACACGAAGAAAATTTTAAAAGGTAGTAAGTGCTGATGTAGAATTTGAAGCTAGGCCTATTTTCAGTTAAGACCAAACTGTTTCCCACCCTACTCTGCTGTCTTCTGGTGATGAAGCCCTGCAGGTTTAAAGGCAGATGAGATGTTTCTGCCCTTGAAGCCTGTTGTTAAGTACTGTGTTATAATTAAATTATGTATTGCTATAAAGGATTATTTTTTCTATTTTTTTAATAGTATACAAACCTTTGGAAAATGAACCTTTGGAAAACAAACCTTTGGAAAACGAATCTTTGGAAAATGAACCTTTAGAAAATGAACGTTTGGAAAATGAACCTTTGGAAAATGAACGTTTGGAAAATGAACCTTTGGAAAACAAACCTTTGGAAAATGAACCATTAGAAATTGAACCTTTTGAAAATGAACCTTCAGAAAATAATCCTGTGGAAAATGAACTTTCAGAAAATGAACCTTCAGAAAATGAAAGGATAGAAATCTCAGGTGAGTTTATTCTGTAAATGGATGTTCCCTATAAGTTAATACCTTCCTATATTTGTTAAAACTCTTATGCTTTGTGGAACAAAAAAATCAATGTAATGAGAATAAAAGACACTTTAAAGTCATCAAGAAAGCAATTGGGTGTTGAAATTCAAGTTGATATCTTAGTATGAATATTCTAGAAGACCCATCTAAATTTAGATGTCTGAGTGGAGAGGAGTTCATTTAGGAACTTAAGTGGAGGTGAGTTAATGTTAAATGTATTTGTTTTTTTCAGATAATACTGTATACAGTGTAGAAGATTCAAATGTAATTGCAGAAGGTAAGTTAATTTTATAGAAATAGTTTTACTTTCCACTGAGGTGTATGTTCATTTACTCAAAGAGTGTTAGTTGAGCATTTTCTGCCTGCTGTCCATGCAGTGCTCGAGAGCCTAGATGCAGGGGTCCTCAACTTTTTAAACAGGGGGCCAGTTCACTGTCCCTCAGACCATTGGAGGGCCGGACTGTGGGCCCCAGGACGAGTTGGCTGCTAAGCAGGACAGGCAGCGGCGGCAAAAACACCCGGCAGGCTGGATAAATGTCCACATGAGGCCCGCCTGCCATAGTTTGAGGACGTCTGGCCTAGAGTGTCAGAATGTAGGAGACAGAAGACCTATCTTTATTGGGACTGACGTTCCAGGGGCTGAACAGATAATACATCAATTCATTCTATGAGAAGTGCAATGCTGGCAATAAAACCAGGGTAACAGACAACTACTGCTGAGGGTGTGGAGGGCTAAGTAGGGTTAGGTGACCACTGATGAAGCGATGATCTAATGAGAAAGGGTTAGCTGTGGACAGAGGTGGGTTGACAGTTAGGTTCTGTATGTTGTTATTCAGCTGGAAAAAAATAAAACATCAAAATCTTGGTATTGGAAGTGAAGGGATACTTTCTAAACAACAGAAATAGTTGCATATGTTAAACAGCAATGATCGAATGTAGCTGAGGTTTAGACAGTTCTTCACAGTTTACGATGCGTTGTAATTCTTTCATGTGTGTTATTTCAGTTGCTCCTCATGGTAGACTCCGAGCAGGAGATAGGGCAGAGATCTTTGTCCTTATTTCACAAATGAAGAGCTGGGACTGGAGCAGGGTCAGGTGATGGGCTGGCCCAGGCTCCATGGCAGAGCACGTGCGCACGCCAGGCTGGGGCCTGCAGTTGGCTGCATGGGGGCGCGTACACTTTAACAGCAGGAAGTGGCCACAAATTTTGCTCCTGGAATTGCCCTTTCAACAGCTAATTGTCAGTTTTCAGATTAATGTTTGGTTGGGCAGAGTGGATAATGGGATGTAACAATCGACTGAAGTGGAGGATGTAGGTGTGTGTGGGTGAGTTGCCCTCCTGCTGCTTGGCAGCCTGGGAGACTCTGGCCAGGTGCTCAGGGTCTGCTGTGCGCAAGCAGCTTCCTTTCCACCTGGTGGGGCTGGATGGACCAGAGATTTTCTCCCACCTCCTTTTACTGGTTTCTCCATGAGGAATACTAATATTTGGAAGAAAGTAGCTGAGTCTGTGTATTTATTCAGCAAGAATCAGAAAATGGAAACCCAGAATCACCAGGAAGAACTTCATCCAACCTACTCAATGTACCTTTCATATAGAAGAACTAACATCACAATATACAAATTGACTCTGCCTTTCTTGGATTAGAAACACAGTGTTTTCTTTAGACTTTTCATGGCAGAGACTGCTAAGGGAATTCCCTTTGGTGGACGAGGGGTGTGGGGCTGCACACCTGCTGTCCAGCCTGCAGCTTCTGTGCTGAACCCCTGTAGCCCCTACGTGGACAGAGAGGGGAACTCATCTTCACATACCCACCAGCCCTTTCCCCACCTATCTTGTCTGGTTGCATCAATATCTATTTGGGTTCTCAAACTAGAACTGTGGAAGTTATTCTTGAGTCCTCTTCTGCCCCATCTCTAAAGCAAATCCCAAGCCCTGTTAATAGACTCCCTAAACATTTCTTAAGTCTGTTCTTTTTTCAAAGCTCTTGTACTGTCATCTTCCTGGGTAATAACAGTCGCCTTCTAGCTGGTCTTCTTAATATCACGTTTGTCCCCTTCAAATCCTTCTTTCACATGCCAGTAGGATGAGCTGAAATACAGAGCTCACTGTGTCAGTCCTGTGTGTAAACCCTTCTGATATTCTCCAGTCAGCTCACTGTTATTTACAGAGAATAGAAAACCAAACTGGCTTAAGCAATAGCTAGATGGGCCCAGATCAGTCAGGACCTTGCAGGGCCTACTAAGAACTTTAGATTACATTCTAGATATAGCATAAGTTCATGGGAATACTTAAGTGAGATACGGGATACTCTGATTTAATGTTTCGAAGAATTATTTCTACTTCTAGTTAGAGAGTGGATTGGATGGAGCAAGAATAGAAGAGGAGACCACCCTGGCAGGAAATTATTGTGTTGTAATCCAGGGAAGTGATTGTGGTGGCCGAGAATAAGATCATTCAGTGGGAATGGAGGGGCAGTATTGAACTTGAGATCTATTTTAGAATTAAAATTACATAACTTTTCTGATAGTTGTGAAGCAAAGAAAAGGAAAAAAGGAAGTCTTAATCTTGGTTTGTTTTGAGTAACTGTTGGAAGATGGGGCCATTTACCAAGAAGAAAAAAAGTAGGATGTAGAAGAAACTGGTTTCAGGGAGAGATGAAGAGACTCCATATTAGGAGCCTGAAGTCTGGAGATAATGTGAGACATCCAAGTGGACATAGCGAGTGGGGAGTGGATATGCCAATCTAAACTAGATGGGCAAGAGCTAAGATACATATAAATGTTTGAGAGCCATCGTCAGGAAGATGGAATTAAATCTGCAGAAACAGATATGGTCTTTGTGGAGGTGGGTGCAGAGAGGGGAGAGAGGCAGTCCCAGAACTAAACTCTGAAGAACCCGAACATTGAGAGGTGGGTGGAGGATAAACGACCACTGAGTCAGGAGGGAAACAGTAGAGAAGAAAAAATGCGAAAACGGAAGAGCGAGAATATGCTCCGCGTTGCTGAGTAGCCCAGGAATTTCAGGACTGAGAAGTAGCTGTTGGATTTGGCCATGTGGAGATGGTTGGTGATCTTATCAAAAGCCATTTGAGTAAATTGGTGGGAGTGAAAGCCATACTGAATGAAGTGGGTTCACAAAGCCCTGGAGTAAGTAGGCTTACTAATAATAAATTAATCAATAAAATAGATAACCCCTTTGGGCTGCACTGATAAAATTAATTCACCATTTCCTTTTTGAAAATCCTCTCTTATATCGTATACCAAAAGAAGTTTCAGATGGGTTTGTTGAATGCATATTTTTTCAGAATAAAATTAGGGGAAATTTTGACTTGCAATAGATGGCTTTCTCATTATATAATATCAGCCATGGAAATAACAAAGTAATCAATTAATGCTTTATGATATACCACATTTTTGTACCTAAGATGACAAAAATGAAAGAAATTCTGAGAAAAATATTGGCAAAATAGGTAAAGGGCTACTAGGTGTCTAAATAATTAAGAACCAAATAAACCAACGACAGCATGGGAGGCCCCGAGCAATCGCTGTCCTGCCACTGTATACAAGCAGTGGTTAGTGGGAATGAACACAGGCAAGCTTTTTTGCTTCCTTTTACTACTTCTATGTAAAATATTTTCCATATTTCTATTTTGAACACTTGTTTATAATTGGAAGCAAATTAATATAAGAAGAAAATGATTTAGGAAGTGGCATAAATATTTTATATTTTAGAAATACTGTTAAAAATATTCCTCTTTTTGGCTGGGCAATGGTGGCTCACACCTATAATCCTAGCACTCTGGAAGCCCCAGTCAGGTAGATTGCTTGAGCTTAAGAGTTCGAGACTAGCCTGAGCAAGAGCGAGACCCTGTCTCTACTAAATATAGAAAAATTAGCTGGGCCTTGTGGTGGATTCCTATAGTCCTGGCTACTCAGGAGGCTGAGGCAAGGGGATCACTTAAGCCCAAGTGTTTGAGGTTGCTGTGAGCTATCATGATGCCACAGCACTCTACCCAGGGTGTTAGAGTGAGACTCTGTCTTAAAAAAAAAAAAAAAAAAATCCTCCTTTTGACCAAAGCCTGTTACAGTTCTTAAGGAGCAAAAGGAAAGCTGATATAATCTTATTTCAAGGTTAAGGTAGTGTTAAATGGTTATGTGGTTTGAACATGTTAATATGTGATACAATTTACTAGAGGAAATCAGGTCTATGATACTATGTCTTTGTATCATTGAGTGGGGAAGTCTGTGGTCTCTTTGTCTATGTGTTGAAATAGCCAAGGGAAAAAACCAGGATATTAAAAGTTCACATAAATGTCTTTGATCAGTGTTAGAATGTGTTATCTTAGATATAATTTTTTTACATCACCTTTATTAAGGATAGTGTTTGATCTTAAGATTCTCTTGTAATTTATTTATTTATTTATTTATTTATTTATTGGGACAGAGTCTCACTTTGTCACCCTCTGTAGAATGCTGTGGCATCATAGCTCGCAGCAACCTCCAACTCTTGGGCTCAAGTGATTCTGTTGCCTCAGCCTCCAGAGTAGCTGGGACTACAGGCGCCCACAACACCTAGCTGTTTTGTTTGTCCAGCAGGCCTTGGCCGGGTTCCAACCCACCAGCCCTGGAACATGTGGCCGGCGCCCTAACCACTGAGATACCAGCTCCCCTCTCTTGCAATTTAACTTCCTTAAGTGTCTCATTAATGTTAAAACTAGGGTTATGAGGTAAAAAAACTTTCCAAGAAGGAACTCTTTACTGAAGAAAAGAGATGCCGTAAGCATCTTTCCACGTCTGTCTTGTTAAGTCTGATGCAAAATTGCAGTGAAAACCTAAGTTTTAGTCATATCTCCTTTACTGGTTAAGCGAGTTTTAAGGTTTTAATTTTTAAGTTTTAAGCCAGCCAGGTAGTGTGGTCAAGCCTACTTGTACAGAATAGTTGAGAAATACACAGCATTTTGCTAAGTTATAACTAGTTCCTCTTTGTTGTGAGGGAGTAAAAACCTAATGTTTTCATGGTAATTGTTAAAATAGTGTAAAAATTATCACTGTAACTTAAATACTGGTTATCTGTGTTTTAAACACTGGTCAGCAATATGGAATGGGTAATAACTTTATTATTTATTTTAGAAATCACTGGTCCTCCGGTAGAAGAGCAGCAGGAAATACCACCAGGTAAGACATTCTGTTAGTTAGATTGTACTCAATTCTTGTTATTTTATAAATGCTGTTAATACCAGCAGTAGTTTTATATTAAATCTATAAAGAGTAAAAAGTATCTTGAGAGAGAAGGATTAAATTTAACTTAATTTGAAATTTGCTGTGTTTTGATCAGCTGAGCCGAAGTAGTGGACAGTACACATCAGGTCCGCATCTGTTGTCCATGTCTGTGGTACATCTTAGTGAGTGAAAATTCCAGGAACGTGAATGGTTATATGATTTTTGTCCTTATAAGTGGTGGTAGTAGTAGAAGTTAGTGGGTTTTTCCCCCCTTTTTGATTGAAAGACCACTTGTAGAGGGTATAGAATCAGAATTGCCTTAGTAAGAAGCTGGATAGTGTGTAAGTTATGACTCCTGTCCCCCCCTTCCCTGCCTTCCCGAGAGCATCTTGGTACCCTGTGGCTGTCCAGGCTTCTTGGGGCTTGTTGGCATCCTAAGATCTCTCCCTTCACCCATAACATTAAAATCATTTCTCCACTTTTCCTTCTGTTCCCCTACTTGTCCGCCTCCTTATTAGTGGATTTAAGGAATGGGAACAGCATTTCCACCAAGGCTTGTGCCTTTCAGTGCATTTTAGAGAGGACATAAGCTATGTCTACAGTCAGAAATTAGCATGTAAACTTGGTTTTCATGGTGGGAAAGAATGAGGATTTTTATTCCCCAACTGTATTTCTTCTCATTTCTGTGCTTTGCTTCTCTTTACTCTCTCTCTCTCTATTTTTTTTTTTTTTTCAGTTTTTTTTGGCCAGGGCCAGGTTTGAACCCACCACCTCCCGTATATGGGGCCAGCGCCCTACTCCTTGAGCCACAGGTGCCAACCTCCCCTCCTCTCCTCCCCTCCCCTCTCCTCCTCCCCTCCCCTCCCCTCCCCCCGTCCCCTCCCCCCACTCCCCTCCTGTCATATTTATTCAATCTTAACTTATTATTTTTCACATTATACTTAAGGTGAATTTTGTAGCAATGATGTGCATTACTGTTAATTGAATTTTGTAGAACTAATCATGCCTGCAGCCAGGCACAGTGGCTCACGCCTGTAATCCCAACACTCTGAAGGGCTGAGGTGGGTAGATTGCCTGAGATCACAGGTTCGAGACCAGCCTGAGCCAGACTGAAACCCTGTCTCTAAAAATGTGCTGTGCTGGGCACCCAGCTACTCAGGAGGGTAAGGCAAGAGAATAGCTTAAGGCCAAGAGTTTTAGGGTGCTGTAATCTGTGATACCATGGCACTCTACCAAGGGTGACAAAGTGAGACTCTATCTCAAAAAAAAAAAAATAATCAAAGTATTTTTTGTTATGCATCAGTTTGTCTTTGCTTATTTTATGAATATGTTTTAGATTTTGATATAATAGTTGTCATACCATGTACATTTATAATAGTAATACAGAAACAAATACTTTAGTAACTGGAATTGTTGGTATTATAATATGAAGGCAAAAAGGAATACCTGAAGAAGTTGAGTTTTTACAAGATGATTACTAGGTAATGTGTATTTATGTTTAGAAAAGATGAATAGAGAAAGGAAAGTAAACATTTATATCCTGTAACATTAATATTTTCTAGTTACAGATCATATTTTTTAATATTGATCTAATTTTTGTGAAGGTATAAAATAATATTTTCTGACTAGAAATCTGTGTGCTTTAATTTCAATGTTTTTTGAATTGAACCCAATAATTTGTTTAGACTTTGAATGTCTGAAACACCAAGTGGTTGGGGTGATGGAATTGGGTGTTTGTAGACACGCTATTTAATAACCAAAGCATCAACGAAGATTTGATTAAATATGCCTAGTTCATGACATATAATAAGCTCCTAGTAAATGGTGGCCATGGCTATTATTGTTCAGTACTTAGCCTGGTCTTTGAGGTAGCTTACAAGAAGCTAAAGTCTGAAAGACCTTATTGAGAGGTGGTAGCCTGTAACTTGTTAACCATAAAAATTTTATTAACCCTTTGTATAATTGTAATTTGACCTTGCCAAAAGTGTATGGAAGGCTGAGAGTTAGCTGTACAGTCATACGCCACTTACTAGGTTCTGAGAAGCGGATCATCAGGAGATTTTGTCATTGTACACAATTGTGCCATGTGAACATCATAGAGCCCTCACACACGCCCCCATGGGACAGTCTGCCACACACCGCTGTGTGGTGTAGCCTGTTGCTCCCAGTCTGCAAACCTTACTGCATTGAATGTTTTAGGCAGTTATAACACAATGGTAAATATTTGGGTATCTAAACATAGACAAGATGCAGTACAAATACAGTACAAAGTTAAACGGTACAGCTTTGTACTCTTACCCATGAATGGAGCGTGCAGACCTGGACATTGCTCGGGGTGAGTCTGCGTGTGAGTGGGGAGTGAGGGGATGTGAAGCCGTAGGCCATTACTGTGCAGTGTAGACTTTAGGCTATACTAAATTTATCAAATACATTTTCTGTCTTTAATAATTAACTAACTTTAGCTTATTGTATCTTTATTATTTCATAAGCATCTTAATTTTTTAACCTCTTTATTCTTTTGTATTCTTACGTTAGCTTCAAACATAAACACTTGTACAGCTGTACAAAAATCTTTTATTTATATCCTTATTCTATAAGCTTTTTGTTATCTTTAATGTTTATTTATTTTACTTTTTGAACTTTTTGTTAAGAAGACCGTAGCCTAGGCCCACACAAGACTAGATCCTTGGTATCACGGCCTTCCCCTCCACATCTGCCCCATAGGGCCCCACTGGAAGGTCTTTAGCCGGAAGCAGGAAGCTCTATCTCCTATGATACAATGCCTTCTCCTGGGATACTCCCAAAGGACCTGCCTGAGGCTACCTTAGAATTAACATTAGTTTTTATTCAATACAAGTACACTCTAAAATCATAACAAAAAGTATAGTGTAATAAATGCATACACCCATACATAGCATGGTCATTTGTTATCATTATCTAGTATTATGCACTGTACATAATCGTATGTGCTGTGCTTTTATATGACTGGAAGTGTAGTGGGCTGTGTTTATACCAGCGTCACCTCAAACAAGAGAGTAATACGTCTCACGGCAGCCTTAAGACAGCTGTGACAACAGGCAACAGAAACGTTTCAGTGCCCTTATAATCTCGTAGGGCCACCATTGCATATTCAGTCCACCCACAGTGTTGTTATATGGCGCCTGGTTGTAGTTATTTTTCACCATTACACTTGGTTTGCTCATTTTCTATAAGTCCTGCTGTTAGTCTTACCTCATATTATGATTTTTTATACATAAACCTATATTCATAATTTTGTACAGTAAGTTGGCTTTTGTGCTAGTCTTGTTTTATTATGTATCTGATTGCAGAAACTGTAGGAACATTGATTGTAAGGCCTGCTTCCTTACTACTTTTTAATCTTTAAAATTATTTTATTCAGGCGGTGCCTGTAGCTCAGTGGGTAGGGTGCCAGCCATGTACACTGAGGCTGTCGAGTTTGAACCTGGCCCAGGCCAGCTAAATGACAATGACAACTACAACAAAAAAATAGCCGGGCATTGTGGCAGGTGCCTGTAGTCTCAGCTACTTGGGAGGCTGACTCAAGAGAATCACTTAAGCCCAAGGGTTTGAGGTTGCTGTGAGCTGTGACGCTAGGCCACTCTACTAAGGGCAGCAATGTGAGACTGTCTCAAAAAAGAAAAAAAAAATTATTTTACTCAGTAGAAATTGCAAATTAAGATATTTTGCAAAATACTGTATTTTACTTCACCGTTTTTTGGCCCTAAGACCCTAACTAATGATTAATTTACCTTCCCTTAATATGACTTTAAAAAGTTCATAATAGGCTCGGCGCCTGTGGCTCAAGCGGCTAAGGTGCCAGCCACATACACCTAAGGTGGAGGGTTCGAATCCCCAGCCCAGGCCCGCCAAACAACAATGATGGCTGCAACCAAAAAATGGCCAGGCGTTGTGGCGGGTGCCTGTAGTCCC